ACTTGACACTTTTCGCATTTCCTTACCAGATTAGCCGCATCTTTCTTGATCGAGGGCCAGTAGTATCCCTGCCTTAAGACCTTATGAGCCAAGGCCTGTCCTCCCGAGTGGCTTCCGCATACTCCCTGCTGGATTTCACGAAGTACCTTCATGGACTCTTCTTCGGTTAAACATTTGAGAAGGGGCTGGGAGAATCCCCTCTTATAAAGTATCCCGTCGACCAGAGTGAAACGTGCGGCCCTTATCCTTAAAATTCCTTGTTTCCTTGGGATCAGCCGGTACCGTTCCCTTTTCGAGGTAAGCTTTGATCCGTTCCATCCAACTTTCTGCTTGCGAGACCGCGAATGGCGTTGTGTTCGCCACCCCGCGGGCCCCGACGGACGGGCACTCCTGTTGCTCGATCTGTTCCATCCAACATTCTTGATTTGATTTTTTGGCACGTAAAATACTACTTAGGTGTTTAAATTTTATCTCATATTGCGTATTATAGTTATTAGTTAACACATTATGTTTTAAAAAAGGGATCTTATTTATTAAACAAAGTTCTAATCTATATGGTTAAGACTGGCTATAAAGAATCCTTGAGTAGAAAAAAAGTAGAGATTTATAGAGATTTTCACGCCTTTTTTTTTTAAATCCAATTCAAATTTATTATTATAAAATATTTTAAAGGATCATTAGTTTTTTCCTAAAAATGAAACCGAATTTTCCTACTAATGCACTGTTTTTTTTTTTACAAAACAAATTAATCCGAACATTTGCTTAAAACAAAGTAAAAAAAAAAAAAATCAATTTTTCCTAAAAATGCAACTGAATTTTCCTAATATTGAACCGATTTGTTTTACCAAACAAATTGAATTGAAATTAATTCTAACAAAAAATTGTAATATTTTGTTGAGATTTATGCAATTGTTTTTTTTTTTTCTAAAAAAATTGATATGAATTTACCAAAATCTTCGTAAAATATGGTTTAGAAAAAACATAAGAATGAAAAAAATAGGCGCATTTACAATTTGAAAAGTTGAACACAATTTTTCCTTATAAAAGTTGCACACGATATGGAATTGTTTTGAATTTTTTTCCTAAATTATTGGATAAGGTTTGACTTTTAATATCAAACCATTTTTGTTTCCAAAAAATGTAGAAACGATTTTGAATATATCCCATTTGAATATCAATTTTGTTTTAAAATAAAAATTGCACGTGGTTTTATCCATTTTGCACACATTTTTTGAAAGAAAATATTATTAAAAGAATTTGAAGAATATGTTAAGAATTACACAACTATCTGTTTCCTAAATTTGTATCCAATTTGCACAGTTTTTATATTAATTTGTATTTATATTTATTTTCATAAATAACTGACACAAATTTAGCATAAGAATCTTCAAATTTGCTAGAAAAAATGGGATTTATGTTATGGTAAAACATGATACAAATAAACGGGATTCTGATTCAGCATAAAAATCTTCAAATTTGTTACAAAAAAAAAAAGGATTTAGATTTTGTTACTAAAGATTTATATCTATGCTTTTTTTTTGAATTTTCACTAATAGTAAATCAAACCATTATTTGTTTAACAAACTTACTATAAATGTATATTTTCAACAACCTTTTTATATATACCAGTATCCATCCGTGCGATGCACATGAGCATTTATTACATACTTGGTTTTTAAATGATACTTTTGTATTTAAATTGTCTCATGTCATTAAAAATATAATGGAAATGAAACTTATATATTACTGAAAACTTCTTTATGTACAACATTATTGGTTTGATAAGGTTTGCCTGAAGAGATAAACATATTTTCAAAAGATAAACATAATTGATATACTACCAAGCATGTTTATGGGATATACATGATTTTATTCATTGAATTAATATCAAAATATTTGATATGAAATTATTTAATTAAAGTACCAAAAGCAACTAACACTCCCACACTCTTCTCGCAACCTCGCTCTCTAAAAGCAAGTGGGAAAAAGTCTCAATCTAGAAATAATTGGTCTCAGCACAACACTAACATCACGAGGGGAAAGAAACTCCCCCCACCTTCCGCACAGAGTCTATTGGAATCTGACACAGGAGAAAAGGCTACGGTCACATTCCTCTGCATTGGATCCGATTTCCCTCGCTGCTGACAGATAAGACTTTAGAAACTACAATTCAAACACATATCCACGAAAAATCTGAGACGACCACCTCACCGCCACTTAGAGGGGACGGAC